GAGATTCTCGTAATGAAAAAGTATAACTATTATATTAGAGCAAATTTTCAGTGTTTAATTAAATAGCATGGTTATATTATTAATTAATGTTTTTAAATTGTGTTTTTTAAATAGAATTTTATTAGAAAATATTGTTTTACTATTTGTAAAGAATACATCAATGACATAATTAATATTCAACTTACCTTTATAATTTTTAACACAAGTGATAGTTGACAATATTGACAAATGTCTTGAAATTTTGTATACTCAAAAGATTAAATTAATAATTTCAATTTAATTTAAAAATTAATAATTTAATAATTATTTATTTATATTTATAAATATTTTAAATTGTTAGTAGAATTTATTTTGAAAAATCAAATTTTTACTTAATTAAGGTTTACTTTTTTAATTAGACTATTTGATTTATATTAACTAATATAGGAATTTATTTTGAAGTTGATTAATTCAAGTATTTAATGTTTTTCATAGCGAATCCAATTTAAATAATTTTCAGTTTAATTTTTTCTAAGATAATAATTTATTATCTAAAGAATGAAGAATTAATACAAGAAATATAACTTTTCAAACCGAGATATGCTAGTATTAAATTAACTATTTAAAGTTTTTAAGAAAACGCTCAAATCTTTTTGATTTGACCAATTATTAATACACATAAGTTCTCGAATCAGATCGTTTCCTAAACGATTTCGGTGTTTTCTTACAGTCAACGAAGATCGCGAAAATAATCTTTCTGACGATACTGATGATGCTTGAATAGCAAGTAAATCGCGTGCCATCCGTGCCAAATCTGGAAATCTATTTTGATTTTGTTTCCACCATAAAAGAATGTCCGTTTTTGAATCAGCTGTCTCTTCTTTACAGTAATCATCAATTTCTTTTTTCCAGTTATCCTGTTTTCTACTGGAGGACGATGGCATTGTTCTTTTGGATTTTTTAGTTTTTTCATAAAATGAATATAAATTGACATCACTATCGTCCGAGTCAACATCAGAAATTTGAGAAGTTTCAGTTTCCTCATTACTGCTGTTTTCCTGTTTTGGAATAAAATAGATTTTCCTGAAAATCTCGTAAAATTTTTCAATCGAATTTTTGGACATTTCTTTTCCCCATTCTGTTTCGAAGAATGTTTCTACCTTATGCCTTGGATCCAAAACTAAAATTGCACAGTAAATCCAATTGAATTTATTATAATGTTTTAATAATTTTCCTCTTGCCGCAAAAAGAGCGTTTCGCAATTTCTCATTAATTAAGCAACGATCAAGTTCATCTAATTTTTTTATCCCTTTTTCAATTTGATCCAGAAGCAAATTGAATCCAATGATGACTAACGGAATTGTGACATACTTATCACCGCACACAGCATCCGATAACACTTTAAAATATTTTAAATATTTATGTGCAGCTTCCAAGAGAGCCCATTCAGATTCTGTGATTAAAAAATCCTGCAAGTCCTGATTGTTGGAACACAACAATTTAAGAGGTTCTTTCATTTTCAAGCCTTTTCCAATCATATATTCCGTTGAATTCCATCGGGTTTTGACATCCAAACTTGGCATTGTCATTTTTACGTTGAGCGTAATACAGCAGCATTCTAACTTGCGACGCAATTGCTCACTGAACTTGAGTTTTTTAAATAAAAGTCTTAATTTTTTAATCGGAGATTCATATTTGATGTCATTTTCCGCTTCGTTTTGTGAGTGTTCGTTTTCATCATCAGTCTCTTCATCATCGAACAAAAATTCTTCTTCGTCATTCGGGTTTCGTAAATTCAGTTCGACCAAAAAATCCTGAGCAGCTAGATTCGAAATGTGCGCAACACACCGAAAATGCTGATTTTCTGAATCAAAAAATACTCTATTTCTGTCCATAAGTAAACGAAATTCCTGGATGAAGGTCGTATTGTTCGACGCATTGTCTACCGTAATGCCTTCGATTTTTTCCATTAAACCATAATCCTGAACGCAATCGTAGAAAATTTTGGCAATACTTTTTCCCGTGTGTTCTCCATTAGAAGGAGTGAATTCCAACGTAATCGAATGAATTGTCCAATTGTCATCAATGTAATGACCTATGAAATGGTTTATTTTCATTGAAATGAAGTATGAATTATCAGTTGATCAAGAATTATTTATAATTAAAAAAATATTGTGTAATATGAGTTTAATTCAATGTTTATTAGTTATTATTCTTATACAAATTTTAAAATATTTAATTAAACAAAATTTTTTCATTATTTTTTTATTATTTTTATTTAATATTATACTATTTATTATTTATTTTAATTTAACAAAATTAAATTATAAACAAATATTTCAATTTTTTAAATTAAATATATTTAATTTTTTATAATAAACAAAAATATATTTTTAAATTATTAATATAATTTTTAAAATTGTGTAAACTAACAGTTAATTCCTAAATAAGACTTGCCAGCAACTGATGACCAACCATCTAAATCAAATGAAAATTTTGATCGATTCTTTTGTAAAACTTTTTTCAGTTCTGCTTTCATACTCTGAAATCTTGCGGTCGTTAGACTTTTTAACTCAGTTCTCAACGGGAATTTGGCATCTTTGTTGATATATTTAAACAAAGTTTGAGTTGCTTCGTCGTTGAAAAAACTTATTGGCAGATATTTCTTCGCAATCCATTCAACAATCATGTCATTTAATTTGGTTTGATTAAATTTCTAATAAAATCATAATAAATTAATTTGAATATTTAAAGCATCATAATTGATAATAATAAAGCTCTATTTGAATATAATAAAAAATAAGTAAGAAGTAAAGTTATTGAATTGTTATTGGTAATGTGCTTTTTCATATTTTTTATCATTTATAGAAAATATTTATGAAAATAAGGTATGTTTCAAGATACATACAATTAAATACGCTTAAAATTTAAAAAAATGTAATTTAAAAATTTTTTGAATTACAAATACAAATTCTCAAAATTATTTTTCTAACCAAAATCAAGAAATTGATTGTTTTAAATTAAATTACTTATAATTTAATAGCATATAAGTACTTCTTGATTGTTTCCAGTGTTGGGAAAAGCTAATTGAAATTCATCTTCATGATAATTTCTTAAATGTCTCTTGACACCCGTAGTATTGCCGTCTTTCATTTTTATTATCTTTTCTGTCCCTTTTTGTTGCAAACATTTTTTACATTTTGCGAATTTTTCCTTTGTGTCTGATGTCAAACAGTATTCAAAAGTTGCGTTCAAAATTTCAACTTTTCTTTTTTTTGCCGATGTGTTTGGTTCGGAATCATCAATAACCTTATCACTATTTAAATGAAAAGAAAAATTGTATTTCAAATAAGTCAATTAATTATTTACACTTTTTAGGAAAGTAATAATAATTATTATAATTATTATTTTATGGATATTTTAATAGAACCTAATTATTTATTTTATTTATTATTAATTGCATTATTTTTTTTGTTACAAAATATAAAATAAATGTTAATTATAAATATTAGTTACTGACTTCTCTCGAGTAGGAATTATTTCCTGTGCTTCGTTGGCCATTTTTTAAATTTTATTAAATAATAATTTAACTTTTCATTTAAAACGTCATAATGACTTTTCTCGTTAAATATTGATCGGTTTCCTTAGAGATGTCGATCGTTTAAAAATGTTATAAAACAAAAGAAAATTTGAGATGCTCGATTAAAAGATTTCTCGAAATCCGAGCGAAACCGAGAAAAACAACTGAAATTCTCGTATCGTCATGCATCACTAGTTTGGATATCCCTGGGATATCTTAGAGATGTCCATGGATATCCAGAGGATATCTTAGGGATATCCGAATCGCCAAAAGCAAATGGATATCCCCAGGACGTCCCAGGGATATCCTGAATATCCTTGTGTTGTGAGGGAAATTATTATTTTGATATATACCTACTACAATTAATAATTCTACAAAGTCAAGCAATGGTGAAAGATGTAAGGGGTAACTGATAACTCGGAGTACCACCTTATTATTTTGATCTGTTAAGTGGTAACAAAAGAAAATCTTAAGTCTCTTGAAGATGCATTTCAAATTGATTGCAATAGAAGATGAATTTGTCAATGTGTGAGATTCAATTGATTATGAATTCCTATCCTCCAAATTGTTAGTTAATTTAGGAAATAAATTATTCATTTTAAATGATTTTTAGTGAAATAAATGAATTTTACATAAATTTCTTGACAGATTTGAGCATTCTAATATGTTGTAAATTTTATAATATATTATAGATTAATCAGATTTTAATTGAAAGTACAAATTTGTTTATTTATGTTACATTAATTAATTTAGGAAATAGGAGAATTTGACCTTATAGTATTAATAGTAGGAATTAAAGAAGCGGATTCTTTGAATTTGATTAAAAAGGTGGAAACATTTTGGTTGATTAATAAAAATCGCACTTGATTTAATTTCATTCAGAACAATCGAACAATTATTGAAAAGCTTTCTCTAATTTGGTAAATGAGAGACAAATATTCTGAAAATAAAATAAATATTTTTTTCTAAATGTATATGGAATCATAAATTTAAAAATCAATTTAATTTAAATTATTCTATTACATAATTACAATCATATCAGTTGCTATAGTTAGCACATGATCATTGTATTAGATAATTAAATTTAAGAATACAATGTCCCTTTAAATTTGGACAATATAACTATTCTTTCTTTTGTTTCAAAATTTATGTGATGTGGGTGATAATTATCTAAACATTTATGTTTACGGTCATTCAACCACATGTTTGAACTTATTAATTTTTCAGAACCGAAATAAGTCAGGGACAAATTTGATAAGAAAATAAATATAAATAAGTAAAATAGTATAATATATCCCCAGTGTGATGAGATTTAATAAATGCTTCAATCTGTATTAATTAGTTAAAGATATTAAATTTTTTATTAGAAACACCTCAATAATTATTTTAATCAACAACACATTTCTTCTTTAAGGGTAAAATATTATTTTTTTAATTTTAGGATACTTCAAGGAACTAGAGAAATTTGGTTCTCAATTCGTGACGGCGTTCAAACTAGTAATGGAAAGGAGAATTCTTATAAGTTTGCACGTTTTCAAAATTTTTCTGAAGGAGGCGTTCAACTGTCAGGATGTGATAAATTGGAAAATAACGTCGATGACAATGAGCCCTGTTCTTCTGGTGGAAGATTTGAAAATCCATTGTACAAATCAAAAAGAGAGTACAAAAAGGAAATAAATATTGAAAGCACAAAGGAAATTGACTTTAATTCTCCAGTAAGTCTGATGACATTAAACAAACGAATAGAAGGAGAGAATTTGGAAGAATTGAAAATGACAAACGAAGAAATATCTGAAACCGAGCAATGATATACTTAATTTTTTAAATATGTTTAAACTTTATTTATAGAAAAAGGAATATTTAATTGCAAACTAAAAGAAATTTATCTTTTTCTAGAAGTTTTAGAATATGGATATTAGAATTAGAATAAAAAAATTTTTGACATTGTGTGAAAAGTCATTTTGTTTAATTTAATGCCTCTATTAATTATTTGATTCTCTATATATATATCTATTTTAATAAGCCCCCACAGCACACTGAAACTTTACTGAAAATTTAGTAAATATTTACTAAATTTTCAGGAAAGTTTCAGTGTGCTGTGGGGGAGGACGAATTATAAATATTAAATTAAAAATTGTGTTGCAAAATTTACAATTTAACAATTCACAAAAGTTTATTTTGTTTTCATTATATTAATTAACTTTTCTTTATTATTCTTTATTATTATCTTTTAATATCAAAAATTTACTATATGAAATCACATTAAGGATTCGAGAAATAGAAAAATCTTATTAATAATAATTTAATATTGAAAATTAATATCTGTAATCTCTTTTTGCTTCCTCGTGGAGGAAGCTTTATAGTCCTTTCGTTTATAAAACTTTTCAAAGTGGCGGAAACAAATTTTTTTCTTTATAGAAACATGTTATATGAGATCCTGATCAATTGTCCGGATGTATGTATGTGTGTGTGTGGATCCCTTTTTTCTTTAGAAGATAATTTTAAGGCCAGGTCCAAGTGAGGCAGCGCCATCTACATTGATACTAAAATTTTGGAAAATTTTCAACAGCCTTTTCTTGAAAACAAGATGGTAAAATGCTTTTTTCTTTATGGATAATTGATTATTGATAAGATATACACCAGCTAAAACTTTTTTTGAGTTAAAATAATAAAAAAAATTTCATGTCAATAAATTAAATATGAGCACTTTTTTCACAAAAACTGTAACAGTACTTTCTCAGAAATTACAATCAAAAATGCAATTTCCATATGGAAAATAATTAAACGCTAAAAAATACACGACCTAAGATTTACCAATCACGAAAATAACAAAAAAAATTTTTATTAAATATTTAACATATTGATACTGCTTTACTGATTGTGACAGCCCTTTGGTAGATTATGTATTTCAGGTGGTTAGCAACAGCGCCAATCTCCTCCTTTCGGCAAAACTGCGAAACGTCTGGTGACATATATAACCTGCCAAACGGCTGTCATAATGAGTAAAATATTTTATGTTAAAATACTTTTTTTTGTTATTTTTATGATTGGTAAATCTTAGCTCGTGTATTTTTTAGCGTTTATTAATTTTCCAAATGGAAATCGCATTTTTGATTGAAATTTCTGAGAAAGTACTGTTACAGTTTTTGTGAAAAAAGTACTCTTATTTAATTTATTGACATGAAATTTTTTTTATTATTTTAACTCAAAAAAAGTTTTAGCTGGTGTATATCTTGCCAATAATCAATTATCCATAAAGGAAAAAGCATTTTACCTTCTTGTTTTCAAGAAAAGGCTGTTGAAAATTTTCCAAAATTTTAGTTTCAATATAGATGGCGCTGCCTCACTTGGACCTGGCCTTAACAGGTTTTAATGGATTTAGATAACATTTGGTAGGCTCATTTATCATATTAATATCTCAAATCTGACCGAAAAATTTTAAAAAATACCCAAAAAAAAAAATTTTATCGTCTTTTTTCAAAAAATTTTTTTTTAATGGAAAAAATTTTTAAATCGAAAAATTTAAGGATATATATAATAAAATCGTTTTCCTTGCGTCAAGACGAATCGATTAATATATATAAAGTATACATTTGAGGTAAATTTAAAGAATTAATGAAAGTTAAAAAAATGTATTGGGCTGTCAATTTTTTTCTACACTTTTGGGTGTATTTTGTGCAAGAATATGCAATGAAATCGTCTGCCTAAGAAAAATTGAATTTTTTTTGTAATTTTTTTATGATTGTGGTTGACTTAAGTAAAAAGTATTTGGACAATTTGTAAAACTTATATTTTCAGTCAACGCTCATTTCATGTTGTTACACTGGTTCTCGTCCGATCACCAAAGTTAAGCAACATTGAGCGCGGTTAGTACTTGGATGGGTGACCGCTTGGGAATACCGCGTAGTGTTGGCTTTCTTTTTTTTAATTTTTATAATTTAAAACTTTACAACTTTATTGTTTATTACAATTATTTCTTTAATTAATTCTTAATATTTTGGAAAAAAATATTAATAAATTATTAATTTTTTTTTTACATATAACACTGCTGATAAAAATAAGTTTTTTTTTTAAATATTTTGAATCTTATCATTAATAATTAATATTAATATTAATTAATATTATAATAATAAATGGGGTAAAATAATGTATCAAAAATAAAATTTTTTTTTCACACGTGTTTATTATTTATAATAATTATTGTTATCAGACAAAAGTCATTCAAAATCGTTTTTCAATGATACGCACTGAAATGGTATTTCAATAGTCAAAAAATTTTATTACAAAATAATTATAAATTATTGAAAAATTATAAATAAATAAATAAAAAAATACAGAATAAATAATTATATATTTTCAAATTTAAAATATATTGCACGCCCTGGCGGATTTGATTTACCTAAATTCGACCCACTTACGATTTATATATGAATTACGATGAGGTGGAAGAAGATTTTTATGAGGATGAACCCATAAGAGCCCCAGGAGCATAATAGCTCAGTAGTGTAAATAAAATAAATAAAATTTTTTTTTCTTTATAAACGAAAAAATTTATTCATAAATTAAGAAATTCATTCGCTTAGGGGGGCATTTTGGAGTCAAATTTTGTAAATTTTTATTTTTAAAAAATATTTTTTTTTGTTTCTCTCCATCTTTTTGCCAATTGAAATTAATTTTTTTTAAAACAAATAAAATTCCTTTTATGTTAAAAGAATTCATTCGTTTAAAGGGACATTGAAATATTATTTCAATAGTCAAAAAATTTTATTACAAAATAATTATAAATTCTTGAAAAATTATAAATGAATAAATATTAAAAATTAAATTCTACAAAGTAATGAAATTAAAACTAGATAAATTGAATTTCCGAAAATAATAGAAAGAGAGAGAAGATATCTATAGATAACACAATGAAAACATAAACAGGAAAAATAATAGAAAGAGAAGGTAGATATAAATACGAATTAAGAGAATTATTAATTTAATTTAAAGTTAAAGTTTTTTCTTTACAAATAAGAATTTTTATAGATTATTATTTAAAGAATAAATTTATTTTATATTTCTTTTTTTTATTATTTAGAAAGTAAAATAATAAAAATTATTTTTAAAAAATTGCTGAAATTAATAATAATTAAATAAAATTATATGTTATATTAAAATAAAAATTATTTAAAAATTAATGGTAAAAGTTAAATAATTTTAAAATTATTATTTTTTGAGAAATTAAAGATTTTAGAAAAAGAAAATCAGTTAGAGAAAAATGATTGACAGGTAGACAATGGCATTGTCCTTGGCGAACGTTAGAAACGGAATTAGAGAGAGAAAAATATCTCCGTCCTTAGAAAATAATTTAAATGTAATTGGCTATTCGAAAATAGACGCCGCGAAAAATCCAAATAGAGGGAGAAATTGGCGGTAAGAAATACATGGGAGAAGCGCCCAGCGTAAAGTGGTGAGGGAAACTCGCGGATTTTCGCTCAATCAATTTAAAATTCCTTACTCATACACTCGCACATTTTGAATTTTACTTACCCCAAAAAATTAAGGGTAGGGACGCAACTATATAAGCCAAGTAAATGCGTGCTTCTGTCTCTTTTGTCTGAACAGTTTTAAACTGGTAAGAGCTTTCTTCTATATTTTATTATAAAGAAATTTCAGAACTATATAATCTACAAAGTCAAGTCTTTCAAACTTGAGAAGTGCAGATTGTTGGGGGCTTTCTAACGATCTCTACCTAAACGATCTGCATCTCTGGGCGAGAAAGATAACAAGGACTAAATCGTAATTAAAAATAAAATTTATTTAAAATTGTTAATTTTGAGAGACCAATTGTTAGGGGCTCTCTAACGATTTCTACCAATACGATTGGTTCTTCTTAAATTAACAATTAAAAATTGTCGAAGAGGAAAGTCTGTTGTCAGGAGCTTTCGAAAGATTTCTACCAACACGACTGACTTTCCAAATCTGCAATAAAATAAATTATTATTTAACAAAACAACAACAAAATTACCAACAAACAAATCTTCAAAGTCAAGCCACGGAAAATCAATGGTCAGGGGCTTTCTAACGATCTCTACCAACACCATTGATTGTCCAAGAGTGGTTAAAAAGACAAATCGTAATTCTTGTTTAATATTCTTATATGTCATGTGCATTTCAATAGGCGATCCACATGACAATTTGAAAGATTAAACTATAGAGATGATCCTGACAAGCTCAAGAATTAGCTAGAATAGGATATAATTAATTTATTCAAATTAATTATCTAGTAAGGTTTTACAGAAATAAATCTATTCAAGTTTAATGTAAATATTATAGTTTAACAATGTATTGTTGAACTATGATGACTCATTAAAGTTTAAATTTTTTATACCAAGAATAGAAAAGGTAGAAATAGAGTTAGGAGAAACTAACCCATAAAATTTTGTTAGGTAAAGTTTTACAATATTGTTAAAATAATTTATTTCATATTTTTTTTGTAGATTTCATAAACTACATAACCAATAACTGCAAATCGATTTTATAGTGAGATTATCACAAAATCAAGGTGTGTTTGTATTTATTTTTATTTATTTATAATTACTAAGTTAAACTAAAAGTAAATTTTATTCTATTCAGAATTGAGAGAATTAATGAGGAAACACTCACAATCGTTTTTATAAACAAAGAAAACTATATTGTCAGATTGATTGTTTATTTTCATTACTTAAATAAAAATAACTAATTCTTTTATTTATTATTATTATTATTTCCTTTAGCATCAAAATTCTTTGAAACGATAAACAATCAATTGCTTAAACAAGTAAAAGAATTTTGAAAAGTTATTAACAAAAGCTAAAAAACTAAATAATTATTGGAAAGATTCCTCTAATTTAGTTTGAAAAGCGACACATAATTTAAAAATAAAAGAGAAGAATATAGATATATATAAGTATAATATAGAATTTGGAAAAGC